TTAAGCAGGTATTCATTGTTTCATTTAAAACCCATTGTGGTAGTGTACAGAGCCAAAATGATGACAACTGTATCATTGTCCAAATAATTATGGACCTGACTGTATGTTTCAGAAGACATCTGAGGTGAAAAACAGACAGTGCAGTAGCAGAATCTTGATTCATATTTGATCAGCGCTGCCTGGTGTGAAAGTTTGACCGAAGTTTAGGAGCAGTGATTGACATGATTGTAGACAAGCTGCCTTAGACACTCCTCGGCTCTGATTTCCTGCAGTTGTGGTGGATTCTTGCAAACGTATTAAACTTTTCCCTGTTTGTTTCTTTGAGCGTTTTTCTTTAATGACTGTGCCTGAGTCTGAGCAGCCGGACTGTATCACCCACCAGTCGCCTTTATTCTCTACATTGATAAGACTCAGACTCCATCTGTTGTCTCAGTTCATTCAGACATCACCAGAGTTGACTTCACTCTCTCTCAGTTACAGTCGGCGGTGTCGGCAGCAGATCTGTCGAGGAGGGAAGCTGCAGATTAGAGGTTTATTTTCTGTGAACGCTCACTCGACTTTTGTTTGTTCCATATATACAGATGCAGTGACAGTTCAAACAAACGCAGCAGTGACATCCGGCTGAACCTTTTCAAGCCCCATCAATGACTGCACAACAGTTTGCTGGGATCGTGACTTCAGCACAAGCTTCAGAATAAATATCTGATGACAGTTTATCGTTTCGTAATCTCGAGTCAAAAGACTGTTTATATGCGCCGTCATCTAGGTCACTATCAGTAAATAAAACATCCTCCTTTTAAGTCCTTTTCATCAGCCTGAGTGTGTTTCCATCAAAATACAAGTACGAGTCCTTCACTGAGAATGTGCCTGCAGTAAAAGTATGTAAGTATGATGTAGTTAAAGTATTAAAAATATCAAACTGTGACTGTTATCTCTGATCTCATTAGATGGATCTAACTCGTGCATTAATGTGAATGGATTTATGGATTAATCCGATGATTATTTTCTAGTACCAGTCCAGCACCTTTGGAACCAGCAGTAACCCTTCAGACATAGTACCTAGACCCTCAGTATGTTCAGACAGTCCTCTTAAATGTGGGCGGGGTTGTTGTCACTCACTGCTCCGTCCAGCACTCGCTGTATTTCCTCATCAGCGGTGACACAGATGGAAGTCTGCACCTGGTTTATCGTCCACAGAACGAGGCTGCACGCCCACATTTTCACAACAAAATAGAACAGGCTGCAGTGAGAGTCTCTCTCCATGGGATATTTAAAAATAGCAGCTTTGTGCATTTAGTCCTTCTCAGGCAAGCTCAGGGGTTTAGTGTTGCTGTAGCCCACAGGAAGTGAGGATTAGAATATATGACCTTCACATAATCCGCTCCAAATTAATCTATATTTTTAAAGTCATTACTAAAAGTGTGTGTCATATAAAAACTAAAGTGATGCTCAAAGTTGTCACAGTGAAATTTAAGGTGTGCTGATGGATTCACGTCATCAACTCATGCATTGAGTAACATTACAAGTTAACGTTCCACCTTAAAAGTTGCCGGCAGTCGGCCCAGTGAATGAAGTTATTTTTTTCTCTTTCATTTTATAGTTGTAGTTTACTGATGTATGAACAGAGGTTACATAAAACCAGAGTGACCATCCTCTACTGACCAATCAGACTGCAGGGTTTCTAGCTCCACCTTTTAGTACCAGATCTGTGTGCTAGGTACCCCAACAGAGGGGGGACCAAACATGGGGACGCTAAGGAACGCTTCTGTTGGTACCATCCACAACTTTCACTGTGGAGACAGAAAAAAAGTGAACTGAACTGCTCTGCTCTGTGGAAACAGGGCTTAAGTGGGCCTATATCATGTTTTTACCAGGCCCCCAGGAACAGCGCTGGGTGTTGAAGCCAATTTTCATAGTGGCCAAACTGTGAAATTACAACTTTCAGGTTCATCATGTGATGCCATAGGCTTCAGAAAGACTTTCTCCTATTGACTAACATTGGGAAAAAGTTGGCTGTAAATCAGTTGATGTGTTATTTTGAGCGCCAACCCCGAAAAATTGACTGGCTTCACCATCAGGATTTGATCCATTCAGTGCAATAACATTTCAAAAGTCTACAAGAGCTGCGCAATTAAATTACTTCTTTACCCATTCAAGTTAATGAAGAGCTAAACCGGAAGTTAGCTGCTCTGCCTGCCAAGTCTTGAGTGCACCTGCTCTTTGGGCCCAATGATGTGGAAGCTGCACCGATCATTCCGGTAATTCTATACCTGAACTCTTTGGCTTCAATCACCACATTCATAGGAATGAACGTGGCCCCGCCTCCAACGTTTTGAAGCCTCGAGTTCGGCATTTTAGTCAACGCCATCTTCGATGTTTTTGAGCTAGATGTGATTATATTTGGAAGAGAGGATGGAGCTAACCCTAACGCTATCTGCTAGCTTGGTTAGCTTAGTGCATTTACACCAATGGTTAACTTTGATAATGCTAATGCTAATTTTCGTGAGCAAAAAACAGGCTTAAACTCACTAAAACAAAGTAAAGCGTAGAAACTGAGTAACAGACTCCTTCGAGGGTTTTAGTTCAACCAAACACTGAACAAGACTTTGAGACACTAAAATGATAAAATTAACTTTCATGAGCTGAGAACACACTGAAATATCTACAGCTACATTTGTGACTCTGGCGTTATGCCATGATTACATTAGAAGTCTGTGGACTGAGTGGTCCTGAATTGTGGAGTTGAACTATTTTTCACCATTTCTATATCCAGGATTTTTTTGGGTGGGCCTGAAATCATGGCTTGATGATAACTGCTCGGAAATAACGTACATTTCAGTCCTTCAGCCAGAATCAGTGACCCGGCCCTCCAGCAGCTACTGCTCACTGCTGTAGGTGTGTGATTAGTGCTAACGTTAGCTATTGGATGAGAGGCTATCATGACACTGTGGCGCTCTGGTTCTTTGGTTTGGACGGTGTACTGTGCCACTAAAGAGTTTGTGCGCTGGATGCTAACGAGGGGCTGCACTGCATGGCGGCACACTTTTTGGCTCGGGAAGCGTGTGTGCTTTGTGCTACTGGGTTAGCTGCTGATGCGAGGCTGCCACTTCGCAGCTGCTCGTTCTTCGACTCGGTACCTTCAGTAGACACGCACCCCGTGTCACAGAGCAGAGGTTATGCTAATTTTCTTTTTCATGATTTCAAAACCTAATTTTATACACTTGCTGATTTCTTTTAATCAATCAGATTTCACTGGGTGGTTAATACACATTTTTCTGTGGCATGACAAACTTATGACGCACATTTATTTTTGCTTTACCCGGACTACCCAGGGGAACCCACTGGTTGCTTTGGTTTGTGAACATTAAATTGTTGTTACTGTAATTTACCCTTCACTAAGTCCCGCCCCCGGTGGCAGACTGACCAATCATAGTGTAGGATCAGGCCGGGTCCCACAACAACACAGCTGTGCTCCATTGATTCAGATTTTCTTCATTTTCAGGCTGGTTTTGTGGATTTGGAGCTAAATGTTGTGCCTGGGGCACGTCGTGTATTCATGATACTCGTTCCCTGGAGAGGTTGGAAAAAGATACACGTTTCTTCCCTGTTCCAAAACCAAAATCAGACCCTGAAAAGTGTAGGGTTAGCTAGCTAGCTACTGAAGATGTAGCCGACTGAATGTATACACATGCTGCTTTCAACCAGCTCTGTGTCATCGCAGTGTGCACAGATGCAAGGGGAGGTCCGGGTGCTGGCAGCAGCACGGGGGCGAAGCCAAACACCGTTCATCTGCACACACTGCGTTGACACAGCTGGTTCAATATCGGTGAAGTTTCACTCCTTATGTGGTGAAGAGGGAGCTGAGCCGGAAGGCAACCGTTTGACATACAAATGTCTGAAATGAGTTTCCTCTGTAGGGTGTCTGGGCTCAGCCTTAGAGATAGGGGGAGGAGCTCGGAGTAGAGCCGCTGCTCCTTCATGTTGAAAGGGGTCAGTTGAGGTGGTTCAAAATCTGATCAGGATCCTCCTGGGCACCTCCTGTTAGAGGTGTTCTGGGCACTTTACATGGTAGGAGGCCCCGGGGCAGACCCAGAACACACTGGAGGGATTACGTATCTCATCTGGTCTGGGAACACCTCAGTGTCCTTCAGTGTTGGTTCGCTTTTTGTAGTGCTGTATATACTGGTGTGTATTGGTGTGTACTGGTGTGTGTGTGTGTATGTGTGTGTGTGTATACACTGGTGTGTACTGGTATGTGCACCAGTGTATGTGAGTGGAGCAGTGTTTTTGCGCTGATGTCAGTGATCCTCAGCTTCCTGCCTCCGACTGAGGTTCACATGTGGAAAACACCCTCTTCATCTCCTGGCGGGGGTCATGTGACTCCTTCTGCCACGTGGCGTTCTGATTGGTCGCTCCCACTTATATAAAAAAAAAAAACGATGTCATGAAATCAAACATTTGGTGAAATGATTGAAGAAAGGATTTTTTTTCACCCCCATCATGCACTATGGCTCCTCATCATTGGCCAGCAGCGATGATGATGATGATGATGCTTGGATGCCTTTTTTCCCTTTTTTTTTTGCTTTTGCATCGTTGCCATGGCGACGGGGCCGCTCCTCCACACCCACGCTGCTTACCCCCTCTCTCTTTTTCTCCCTCGCTCGCTCAGGAGAGGGAGAGAGAGGGAGAGGTGTGTTTTCTAACCCACGCATTAGAGTGGGAGACAGCGTGCGCACTCACGTGCACGCACGCACACACTCACACGCACATATGCACAGAGTGTGTGTCATGCTAGCAGTGTGTGGGCTGAACCGACCAGCCTTCCACTCATCCTGCCTCTCCCTCCCTCTCTCTTCCTCTCTCCTCTTCTTCTCTCTCTCTCTCTCTCTCTCTCTCTCTCTCTTTTCGTCTCCAGATACACCTCCTCCTCCTCCTCCTCTTCTTCTTCCTCTTCTTCTTCTTCTTCTTCTTCTTCTTTTTTCCCATCCTCCATCATCTCTCTCCTCCACCTCCCTCCATCAGTCCCTTCCTTTTCTTTTCAGTTTATCATCATGGAGAACGAGTCGCTGATCTTCTGGGTGAGTCTCTCTGCAGCTCTGTGTGTGTGTCATGTGTGTGTGTGTCAAAGTGAATGCATGTGTGTGTGGCTAATGTCGCTTTGGCGATATGTTTGTGTGTGTGTGTGTGTGTGTGTGTGTGTGTGTCAGTCACTTGCTGCCGGTCTGTAACTTTAAAAGTCGTGACTAAATTACCTTTGCACTTTACCTTTTTTCATACCTGTCGTCATCCTCTCATCTCCTACTCTCCTTTCCTTATTCCCTCCCTTCCTGTCCTTCTCTACTATCTGCATTCCTTCCCTCTTTTTCTTTCCTTGCGCTCCATCTTTCCCTCTCCTTCCATCGTTTCTTCCATCCATCTCTTCATCTTGTCTTTTTTGCTGTCACCGTCTGTCCTGTCATCTCCTTCACTCATCCGTCGTTTGCTTCCTTACCTCTCCTCACCCTCCACTCATCTCCTCTTTATCTCCTTTCCTTGTTTCCTTTCCTCTTTCCCTTATTTGCCTTCTTTCCTTTCCTTGCTCTCCTTCTTGTATCTTGTCTTTTTTCTCCCTCTGTCCTGTCTCCTTTCCTCATCCCCAATTTCCACTTCATTTCCACTTCATTTCCTTCCCTTGCCCCCCTCCATTCATCTTTTCTATCTATCCTTTCCTCACTTCCTTTCCTCCTTTGCCTCCCCCGTCCCTCATTTCTTGCATCCTTTCCTTCATCTCATCTTTTTTTGCTATCCTCCGTCTGTCCTGTCATCTCCTTCCCTGATCCGTCATTTGCTTCTTTCCCTGTCCTCACCCTCCACTCATCTTGTCTTTCCTCACCTTTCCTTGTTTCCTTTCCTCTTTTCCTGGTTTGCCTTCTTTCCTTTCCTTGCTCTCTTCATTCGTCCTTTCCTCTCCCTCCTCCTCTTGCATCTTGTCTTTTTTCTCAGTCTGTCCTGTCATCTCCTTTCCTCATCTCTCATTTCCAATCCCCCTCTCCTCACCCTCCACTCATCTCTTCTTTATCTCCTTTCCTCATTTCCTTTCTTCTTGTCCTCGTTTGCCTTCTTTCCTTTCCTTGCTCCCTCTTCGTTTGTCCTTCCCTCCCCGTCCTTGTGCATTTCATCCATCCTTTCTTTCATCTCGTCTTCTTTTTCCTTCTGTCCTGTCATCTCCTTCCCTATCCCTCATTCTCACTTCCTTTCCTTCCCTTGCCCCCCCTTATCTCCTCTATATCTCTTTTCCTCATTTCCTTTCCTTCTTTGCCTTCTGTTTTTCCTCCTCCTCTCCTCTCTTCCATTCCTTCTTTGACCTCAGTCCTGTCATCTCCTTCCCTCATTTGTCACTGGCTTCCTTCCCGCTCCTCACCCTCCACTCATCCCCTTTATTTCCTTTCCTCTTTTTCTCATTTGCCTCCTTTCCTTTCCTTGCTCTCTTTTAGTTCATCCTTTTCCCATCTTCCTCTTTCATCTCATCTTTTTTCTCCTTCCCTCATCTTCACCTCCTTCCCTTCCCTTGCCTCTCCTTTCCACCTCTCCTCATTTGCCCCCTTTTCTCTCCTCCCTCCCCTCTTCCTTTCCTTCCCTTCCCACCTTTCCTCTTTCCCTTCATCTCTTCCTCTTTCTACTTCTGTCCTGTCATCTCCTTCCCTCATTTTCTTCCATCCTTTCCTTTCCATGCATTCCTCTCTTTATCTCCTTCCCTCGTCCCTCATTTGCTTCCTCGCCGTCTTTCCTTTTCTCTTCATCTCCTTCGCTCATCCCTCACTTCCTTCCTGTCCTTGCCTTCCTCACTTCTTTTCATGCTCTCAGCCCTTCATTTGCTTCCTCCACTTTCCTTTTCCTTTCCTTTCCTTTCCTTTCCTTTCCTTATTTCTCATTTGCTTCCATTCCTTTACTTTCCTAGTCTCCTCTTTCCTCTTCCCTCCTTTCCGCTGTCCTTCTTTCCTGTTCCTTCCTCTCCACTTCCTCTTTCTCCACTTGTGTCTTTCCACCTTTATCCTCTTCCTCTCTGCCTCTCCCTTTCCTTCCCTTTCTTTTACATTTTCCTCATTTTCCTTCTCTCCTCTTGTCATTTCCTTTCCTTTCTTCTGCTCCTTTGCTTTCTCTGATCCCTTTTCCCGTGTCCTCCCTCTCTTCTTTTATTCATTTTCTCCTTCATCTGCTTCCCCTCCTTTACTCTCCTCCTTTTCTTATGTTTTTTAAATTTGTGTTCTCTTTCTCTCATTTCATTTCCTTTTCTATCCCTCCTCCTGTCTCTTTCCTTCTCTCTGAGGGTTGTCTTTATTTCCTATTTCCTCCAGCATCACTTTACTGTCCTCGGCGTGTGTGTGTGTATGTGTGTGTGTGTGTGCGTGTGCGTGTGCGTGTGCGTGTGTGTGTGTGTGTGTGTGTGTTATGTAAGCTAAGCTGAGCAGAGAGAGTGTGTAGGCCGTAGTCTCAGACCGTCTATCTAAAGAGATGATCTGCCCCCCCCCCTCAAAATCAAACACTTCAAACAGGAAGTGGATCTTCTTCTTCTTCTTCTTCTGCAGCGCTGACACTCTTTAACATCACATGGTTGTCATGGCAACATGTTAAGCTCAGCGCCACTGTGACTGCATGCATGAGTGACTCGATGGTCAGAGGTGAAACGGCTTCACTGGCTACCAGAGAGGAAAATCAAACAAGCCTGTTTTATTTTTTTTTAAATTCTTTAAGCACAATTACAGGACTACATTTCCCATGATGCAGCATGTGTTCAGACCATCATGGTTCACTTGTGTTCACAATCGTGAAGACCTGCCACTGACTGTTAATAAAAAATGACTGACACGAGCTCAGACAGCCTCAGCCATCTTTTTAATCTACTGCCTACGTTTATGCTATGTTCTACGTACCACCCCTTCCTTAGTTACTGTTGCTATGTCAGATAACATACAGTCAATAAATTGGCAGTGTTTACTCTGCACTGGGCACCAAAATAAACTTATAATAAATTTAATAGTTCTCATGAAAAATAAGGTGAAGTCAGCTCAGTACAGATCAGATAAAGCTACGGCTGTAATGTCTGTGTTTATAATAATAATGTGTTGCGAGTTAAATCTGCGGCTCCTCTCAGCTTCAGGTAGCTTGATAGTGAGTTTAAGCTCAATGTTTCTGTGTCCGGCTGTAACTTCACTGTCCTGGTTAACTCTCAGTGCTCTCATAGTGTCAGTTTCACTGAGCATGACCTGCTCAGCAGCAAACAGCAGACAGACACAGTCAGGGCGTCTGTTCAACCAACGTTTGGGGAGCGCTTCATCCCAGTGCTCCATATAAAATGTCCTTTTAACCGGGTAAAAGTCTTACTGAGATTTAAAAAGTAACCTGGCACAACATTCAATTAAAATACAACACACACAAAAAGTTAAATAAATAAATATTTATGTAAGTAGCAGTAAATTTAAGTAGCAACACACTGACCAGTGTGTTTTTTTTCTTGACTGTTTAAAATCGACTGAAATTCAGACAGTTTCAGGACCTTCTGTAAGTTATTCCACGAAGAAAGTGCAGCGTATTTTAAAGCTAATTTGCGCTCTGTGTGAAACTTACACATGTACTCACACATGTTGATGAAGCGCTGTGTGTATTTATTTTTTTTGTGACAATATCGTAACATTACGATCACGTAGGACGCTATCATAATGCTGTGAACTAAGGACGGGCATTTTAAATAACTTCCATATTGGAGTATTCGCTTTAAATAATTATGGAGCGCTTGAGTCCTCGTATAAAAAAACAAAAAACAAATTCAAGATTAGGAATGTGATGAGCAAAGCAGTTCTTTAGATGTTACTGAATCACTAGAATCAGTTCATTAAAAAGATTCGGTCACCGAATCGTTCAGTGCTCAGTCTCTCCGTTGCTGCTGCTGCATCTGCCCTGCACTGGTGAGTCTCATCTCTGGACAGCCTAACGCTTTAAGTTTGTTTATCTGGAAACTAAGTCTGTTAAAACAATGGGGAGGTGTGTGATTGTGTTCATGCGGCTTGACTCCTGGCTACATTAGGGAGCGATCACACCGAGATGAAACGCTGGAAACATGACGGCAGTAAAACCATTGTTTTCCTATGATAAGGCGCATCCAACCGGCATTCAAGCATCTTTTTAGACGGGCGTTTTTCCGGCGTCTTTTTAGACGCTTCTTTTTAGACGCATGAAGATGCTGAAAAGTTAAAATATTTTCAACTTTTTGAGCGTCAGACGCCAGTAGCTAGTGCGCATTGAATAAGCGCTTCCAGTGTTTCAAGCATCTTTGAAACGTCTGCGTCTCTAGCGTCTCATTTCTGTGTGATCACCCCATTAGCTGTTGGCTTGGAGAAAACGGTCCCTATGAAAGTGCATCGCTGAGAAGAAATGATTTGATACACTCAGGGATCGGGTTACGTCGTTCACCGAGTGATTCGTTCACAGAGTGATTTGTCACGTGGTAAGCAGTCCCTCCCCTGCACCCTGGCTGCTTCGCAACTCGCGAGTGATTCATCATTCGCACAGACTGAATCGGCAGTTCCACTCCTGGCCTGCACGCTCACTGCTGAGCTCAACTGAACTGAGAGATGAACGAATCAGTTCCGGAAGTGATTCAGTTCAGTACGTTCACTCAACAGATTCGTTCATTTGAATGATTCGTTCACAAACGACACAACACTAGATTAGGAATGTCAGTTGGCCAACAACGGAAAATAAGTGCAATTCGAAATTAATTTATTGAACAATTAGCCTGTTACATTATTATTCAAATGTAACACAATTTCTGTCACTACGGTTACTGTGAGACGCAGCACCGAAGCACCGTCTCCACGCTGCTCTCCTCCCGGTCCATTCAGCATTAGCCTGGTTAGCATGAGCTAACACAGAAGCACCAGGTAACATCCCACACGGAGGAGTTTAATGGTCCCCACAAACAGCTCGACTCTGTCCCGTTACTACCTGCTAGGAAACGTTAGCTATGTGGAGCTAACAGTTAGCTCTGTCATTGTGTTTGTGTGTGCAGGAGATGTGGAGCTCACACTCTTGCAGAGTTCGT